TGACTTATGATCACCATTCTCACTGGCCTGAGATGGGGATCTCACTGTGGTTTTGATCTGTGTTTCTCTAATGACCAGTGATGATAAGCTTTTTTTCATAGCTTGTTGGCTGCATAAATGTCTTCTTTTGAGAAGTGCCCATTCATCTCCTTTGCCCACTTTTTGATGTTTAAGTTCTTTGTAGATTCCGGATATTAGCCCTTTGTCAGAAAGATAGATTGCAAAAACTTTTTCCCATTCTGTAGGTTGCCTGTTCACTGTGATGATAGTTTCTTTTGCTGTGCAGAAGCTCCTTAGTTTTATTAGATCCCATTTGTCAATTTTGGTTTTTGTTGCCTTTGCTTTGGGTGTTGTTTTAGTCATGAAGTCTTTTTTTTTTTTTTTTTTTTTTTTAATGGAGCCTCACTCTGTCACCCAGGCTGGAGTGTAGTGGCGCGATCTCAGCTCACTGATAGCTCCACCTCCCAGGTTCACACCATTCTCCTGCCTCAGCCTCCCGAGTATCTGGGACTACAGGCACCCACCACCACGCCCAGCTAATTTTTTGTATTTTTAGTAGAGACGTGGTTTCACCGTGTTAGCCAGGATGGGCCTGATCTCTTGACCTCGTGATCCACCGCCTTGGCCTCCAAAAGTGCTGGGATTACAGGCGTGAGCCACTGTGCCTGGCCTAGTCATGAAGTCTTTACCCATGCCTATGTCCTGAATGGTATTGCCCAGGTTTTGTTCTCAGGTTTTTTATGGTTTTAAGTCTTATGTTTAGGTCTTTAATCCACCTTGAGTTAATTTTTATATAAGGTATAAGGAAGGGGTCCAGTTTCAGTTTTCTGCATATGGCTAGCCAGTTTTCCCAACACCATTTATTAAATAGAGAATCCTTTCCCCATTGCTCGTTTTTGTCAGGCTTGTCAAAGATCAGATGGTTGTAGATGTATGGTGGTATTTCTGAGGCCCCTGTTCTGTTCCATTGGTCTATATCTCTGTTTTGGTACCAGTACCATGCTGTTTTGGTTACTGTAGCCTTGTAGTTTAGTTTAGTTTGAAGTCAGGTGGCATGATGCCTCCAGCTTTGTTCTTTTTGCTTAGGATTGTCTTGGCTATGTGGGCTCTTTTTTGGTTCTATATGAAATTTAAAGTAGCTTTTTTCCCAATTCTGTGAAGAAAGTCAATGGTAGCTTGATGGGAAGAGCATTGAATTATTCTTCCCATCAATGAGTATGGAATGTTTTCCCATCTGTTTGTGTTCTCTCGTTTCCTTGAGCAATGGTTTGTAGTTCTCCTTGAAGAGGTCCTTCACATCCCTTGTAAGCTGGATTCTTAGGTATTTTATTCTCTTTGAATAATCGTGAATAGGAGTTCACTCATGATTTGGCTGTCTATTACTGGTGTATAGGAATGCTTCTGATGTTTGCACATTGATTTTGTATCCTGAGGCTTTGCTGAAGTTGCTTATCAGCTTAAGGAGATTTTGGGCTGAGACGATAAGGTTTTCTAAATATACAAAATCATGTCATCTGCAAACAGAGACAATTTGACTTCCTCTTTTCCTATTTGGATACCCTTTATTTTTCTCTCTTGCCTGATCACCCTGGCCAGAATTTCCAAATGCTTTGTTGAATAGGAGTGGTGAGAGAGGGCATCCTTGTCTTGCACCGGTTTTTTTTTTTTTTTTCAAAGGGAATGCTTCTAGCTTTTGCCCAGTATGATATTAGCTGTGGGTTTGTCATAAACAGGTCTTAATATTTTGAGGTATGTTCCATCGATACCTAGTTTATTGAGAGCTTTTTGCATGAAGGGCTGTTGAATTTTGTCAAAGGCCTTTTCTGCATCTATTGAGATAATCATGTGGTTTTTGGTCTCCCAAAGTGCTGGGATTACAGGCATAAGCCAATGTGTCTTGCCTCAACTTCCATTTCCTATCACCACTTTGCAAGTGCTTGGGAATATTAATTCTCACCATGAGTTGATTTTCTATATGTGTCCATGAAAACTCAGCTATAATGAAAGAAGCAAAAAACAATTCAAAAAGAATAAATGCTTACTGGCTTGGGAGAGCCCTATAACTCTTTGAGATTACTAAAGACATTTTGTATTTGATTCTCATCAAAGTAGACATGATCTTGCATTGTAAAATTTTTTAAACAATATTTAATAAGTGATTATGGGGGAATGTGATTATCAGACTACAATTGTCCCTGTTTGAAGATACCTATGTGCACCTATACAGTATGTGTGTTCTACTTGAATGCTTCCATGGTTTAGACAAACACGTTGACTTAAAACAACAAAAGTTTTGTATAAATAGAAGTACCTCAAGAATACCTCAAAGCAAGCTAAGTCAGTTTGATTTAAAATAACTGATTTAAAACAAGAGACTGCTGCTAGCAGAAATGTTGTTTGGGAATGAACTATCTTTTTCACATCTCTCATGTCAGATTAACTCTGAACTTAGTAAAATCTGATTTAGCACTCTACCTATAGTGCATGTAGAGTGAAGTTGACCATTTCTGAAATAGAATCAATGGGCTTTTATTGTCAAGCAGAAAACACTTATCTTTGAAGGTAATATTCTCCAGTGGCCTCCTCCACATGAGAGGTAAAATTGTCAGACAATTCTTAGATCCTTGATGTTTTTTTCCCTTTAGACTCATTAATACCATCTGCCAAGAAGTCATTCCCGAAGCTCTCATGACTGAACAAGGGGAAAACAGTTAGTGTATAAGACTGGAAATAGGATTTGTCCCATAACAGCAGAACCTCTGACTATTTTCTCTAGAATGGTATGAAAGCATTTCCAGTTTTTTTTCTTATCAGTAACATCAAAATAATTTTCAATAAAGTATCAAATCTAGATGGTGAGGACTGTCTATTTAGAAGTAGTTTTTGATAATCATTTATATATTACAGGAGAATTCAGTTGCCTCAGGTGAATTTGAAATTTAGGAAGAAAAAATTGTATAGCATATTATTAACAGGGATGTTTTCTTAGGGGAAAAAATCTTTAGAAAGCATAAAACTAGAGCAAAGATATTTGCCTATGTCAGGCACCTATAAAATGTGCTTAAATGCTCTTTAACATATAGAAAGGGTTCCATAACTAGTGGCTGCTGTTTTAATAATAAGCATAACTAAATTATTAGTGTCCTCTAACTTCTATGCTTCATTTCAAGCTATACCACCTGTCAATGCCACTTGCCCAGAAAGTCTGATCTCATCATCCTGAAGAGAAACCCACTGTTATTTGCTTCTCCATAAAAATCCATATTTTTTTTAGTTTTCATGTTTCTTAGAGTTTAATGCTTAAATAGTATGGGATTTTACACAAGTGACCTGGCATTTGGATGAAGAGCATTTTTAATGTCTGCAACAACGGTGACAAAGGGGAGAAGGTTGGCTATGAGAGAAGGGGAAGAAAAGGGGAACAATGAGGGAATGAACACCTGGGAGACAAGATGAGCCAGGTGAGAACAGTCTCCGCCTGGCAGCAGCATCTTCCCAGCTGCTTTGCTGGTCAGGCTCTGCCTGTCTGGAGTACACATCTGTTGGTCTTCCCTGTGTCCAAAATCTTTGCTTAGGAGCACTCCTCCCAGCATGATGGTCGGCTCTTGGTTGAAGAACAATCGCTGGCTAGAGCCAGTGATAAGAAAAAGAAATCCTTTAATCAGGAATGGGTTTTGTTGTGGTGGTTCTTAATAAATGTGTTCATATTTTAAAAGTCAATCAATCAGTGGTCCTAAATGATAGGATAAACCCACGACTCTCAACTCCAGCTCTACACGGCAGCTTTCTCATAGAGCAGATCACCTTATAAGTATAGAATATGAACTTTGTGCCCAGGATGCTCTATGAAAACTTCCTCTGGTTCTATGTATGGTGCTAATTCAGACTATCCCATTGGCTGTGGGGCTCCAGAGACACTGTTCACTTTTGTGTGTAGGTGAGCGTGTGTAATTTCTGTTTACTTTGCAGAAGGCTTTAGGTTATTTGAAGTTCTGTCTCTTTAAAGTTAAATTTATCTTTGGGAAATCTTACTTTCATTTTACAAAAATTCTTCCTTTTTGGTAGTCTCCTACATGAAAGTAAACAAATTTCAATACAAGTTTCTGTGTGTGCAACACATGTCTTTAACCTTCCTGCAACCGCTGACCTGCAACTCCCAACATTCTCAGCCAGTTGAAAGTCACATTTACTATGAAACTTAATCTTTAAGGCTGTACTCCCTGTGCCTAAATTCTTTATCACTCCTCCTCTCTACATGGTCCTTTTTTGGGATTACATCATTCATGTGAACGTTCATGTGAGGCAAACATTGGCTAGAATTTACTTTGATTTGCAATACTTTGAGGCACACTAATTTCACTTAAAACTGGAAAAGAAACTAGTACCAGTACTAGAGTCCTGTAAGTAGATTTCATTATAAACATATGCATATATTAATAATGTATTGCTTTGAACAAGATTACTTATACTACTCATGAAAATACAATGCCTGACAGTTGCCCCATAAATGCTTGAATGTTCATGAACAATTGAGTGGAAAAAAATTAAGTAAAATTCTCCCAGTAGTAAGTCTGTTTTCAGTCCATCATCATATAGGCGCAGTCATTGTGTCACTTCCATTACTACCTGTTTGTATGACTAGCTTGAACATTTTTATTAAAATGGCCCCTCAAAGCCAGGTGCGGTGGCTCTTGCCTGTAATCCTGGCACTTTGGGAGGCCAAGGCAAGCAGATCACCTGAGCTTACGGGTTTGAGACCAGCCTGGGCAACAGTGTGAAGTCCTGTCTCTACAAAAAATTTTCAAAAACTAGCCTGGCATGGTGGTGCGTGCCTGTAGTCCCAGCTACTCGGGAGGCGGAGGTGTGAGGATGGCTTGAGTCTGGGAGGCGGAGGTTGCAGTGAACCAAGGTCACGCCACTGCATTCCAGCCTGGGTAACAGAGCCAGACCTAGGAAAAAAAAAAAAAAAAAAAAAAAAAAAATCATGTTTAGGCCTAGGACGTAAAGGAAAAAAATGGCCCCTGGGGCTAAATGTAGCCAACTTAATTGAAAATCAAATAGAAGATTTAACAACCGAAGTGATCATTTTCTGACACTGAATTCAGACTTCTGACACTGAATTCAGACAATTTCTCCACAAAAGGGCCAAATGTTTGTATCTAAGTACAACCTGAGTTTTCTATTTATTTAGTTGGGAGTTATCACAGAGCCTTTCTTCATTTTTCTGCCTTAAAAATGCTAGCAAGAAAAACATTAGTCAATTGGGCAGATATATTAGAAAGAGGCGTAGTGTCTTAGAAATAAAACCCAAAGACATGTGTGATGCACAGACATATGACAGTCCCTTTCCCTCCGGGTTCTAGGAGTTGTCTGTAGCCTGTTCACAGAGTAGTAGCGGCCTTGACCCTCTCTCGTTTGCCCACTGGGAAAGAATCTTCTCCCTCTTCCGGTAGCTAGTGATTTCAGCAACTACCCATTTCTGTATTTCTCCAGGCTCTTCTGAGAATGCTCAAAAACGACAGAATGGCTTTTCAGGCAACCTCCAGAGAATATCTCAGAGAAGGGGGCCTAGCTCTGTGCTTGGGCACATGTGGGCTGTTTTCCAAGGAACCTCATACACTCCCTGAAGCCTGCAGATTTCAGAACTGGGTTTGGTATACTTCACAGATGAAGGATGGGTATTGAGTGTTTGTGCTCTTACCTGAAAATGGCTGCGATGAGTCAGATAAGACAAGAGGTGTCACCATCAGTACCTGGATATTAATTTCTGTTTTCTTTCCTAGGGAATGCAGTCGGATTTTTGGTGAAGATGGTCTGACGTTGAAGCTCTTTCTTAAAAGAACTGCTCCCTTTTCTATTCTATGGACTTTGACTAATTACCTTTATTTACTGGCTTTAAAGAAGCTGACGGCCACTGATGTCTCCGCTCTGTTCTGTTGTAACAAAGCCTTTGTCTTCTTGCTGTCGTGGATTGTGCTGAAAGACAGGTTCATGGGAGTGAGGGTAATGGCATACTTGATTCAATGTGTGATGCCTGCCTTTAGCATAAATCCCTGGCTTCAGGAGAGCCTGTCTGCTTTGTTTCGTGGAGTTTCTGTAAAACTTTTCTCACTTTTTTTTTGTTCTGAGTACAAACTGAAACCTGAAGACGCATGAGAAAGCCCAGGCAGTTACAACATCACGGAAGGATAAACAGTTTGTTTCTACTGGTTAGTGAGCTGATTCCAACAGGAGGCACTAAAACAGGCAGAGAAAACAAGTTCCTATTTTAGAATCCATTTTTAGAATTAATGGTGTGATCAACTCCTTCTGTCCTCAGGAATGAAGGGTCTGAGAAAATTAGCCACTATAAAGATTACGGTTTGCATTTTTCAATCAACATATGTTGAGATGACCCCCATTCCCCCCACCAGATGGATTTAATTAATATTAGTGTAAGTAGATAAGATTACAAACAATAATTAAAGTCACTGGTAATAGTACAATGCTGTTAAAAGTGACTATATATCTAGTGTGACTAATGCAGAAATGGAAGTACAAGCAACAACTTCTTTTGGATACAAATCGTTAGTTGAACTGCATTAAACTTCCACCAACAACTTCAGTTCTGAGTTTATTCCTTTCAGGAGTAATATGGATTAAAAACGTATATATTTATATGCTTGTTCTATGTTAAAAATAGATTGCTTGGAAGCCTTGAAGATTTAAGGAGCCAGATCTCATTCATATAATCCGGCATGCCACTATGATGAAAATATTGAGACAACACTTCTTTAGAAGGAGGTACAAATGAACATCAATATTACACAACTTATCTGCTCTGAAAGAGATGTCCAAGATATAATTTGAAACATTTTGTTATCAAAACATTGCTCTTATTGGCAATGATTCCAAGGTCCTTTCCCCCTCCCAAATGCTGAAATTAATATCTATATTAGAGAGAGGGTTTATGATGGTCATTAACCCTGAAAGCTTTTCTTAAAAAAAAACAAAAAAGTTAGACAATTCTGATTGTTTCTTGGGAGATGCTGCTCTGAAATTTAGAAATGAAGCTTGATATTAATAATAAGTAGAAAACTTTGATAGAAGACAAAATCAGAAACTGTGAGTCAGTCCATGGTACCATTACAATATATCCAAATGTGATACTACGTTATTTACTGTCTTACCTTAGATTTGACCCCAAAGGGCTCAGCATCACATATTTATGCCTGGGGCACTGGTGCTGGCTGTCTACCATCAGATACCCTGACAAGTCCTTGACAGCTGGAAGTTTGCCTACACTGTCCACTGTTCTTTTCAAGATGTGCTACATAATCCATGGGGCCCAGTACAAAATGAAAATGCAGGGGCCCTGTTAAAAACTATTAATTTTAAGATAACAACAGAGCATTAAACCAAGGGTGGGGACCTTCCAAGCACGGGGCCCTATGTATCAACATAGGTCATCCCCTAGGAAGTCAGCTGTCTCTCTTTCCAATGTCTAGAATATTGCAGGACACAAAGTAGGGGCTCAATTGATACTTGAGGATATAGTAAATGAATTCATACTTCTGAGATCGTTCTTTTCACTGTCTTTCACTACCATGGACCATGGATCACCCATAAGAACCTGGAGAGTCTTGTCAGAAGAGAGGAGAGGAGAGATTTGGAGGCTCTTCTGTTCTTTTAGTGGCATGCAAACACCAACATTAAATCCATGTTTTCACCACTAGATTTACCAGCAATAAAATCCACTGTATTAGAGCGAATGAACACATTTAACCATGGACCTCACTGATGCAAGAGGTTACATCCAAAAAGGTACAGTGTTTATTTGAGGTATTTTAGAGAAAAAGAAAACAACTGTGTAACTTTAAATAGCAGATTTTAAAAATCAAAAATCTGCCTAGAGGCTACCAACCATTGCCAGTTTAAATTTGCCATCTGCAGTGGGTTGCGTGGTGACTCCAAAAAAGATCTGTCCACATCTTAATCTCCCAAATCTGTCACTGTGACCTTATTTGGATAAAGGGTCTTTGCAGATATTATTAACTTAAGGATCTTGAAAAAGGGACATCATCTTGGATTATCAGAGTAGGACCTAAATCCAATAACAAGTGTCCTTATGAGAGACTCACAAAAGACAGACACAGAAGAGGAGGCTGCAGCGATGTGATCACAGACACAGAGATTGGAGTGATGTGGTCACCAGCCAGGAATGTCAGGACACTCACCAGAACCCTGGAAGAAGCAAGGACTGTATCCTTCCCTAGAGATGCCTTTGGTCCCAGCTGTATTTTGAACTTCTGGTCTCCAGAACCATGAGAGAATAAATTTCTGTTGTTTTAAGTCACCAAGTTTGTGGTAATTTGTTACAGCAGACTTAGGAAACTAACAGCATCTGTAATTAATAACACTCAGTAGAAGAAATGTTAAATAGTTAATAAGTACTTGTTAATGAATATATCCATAAGTGAAGACATCAGAGATAGCAGAATAGTAAGCATTAGTGTGTCAGGCATCCCGTAAAAAATCAGATATTTTTCTTTTTAAGTAAGAGGAAGTGTTTCACTTCTCACTGTGAAACATTAGGACATGTTCAATGCCACGTTCCAGAAGAATGGTAAAGTGTAACTTTAATGATGCCCACAGTCAGGCCATGGAATGTGAGAAGCACAGAAACGTATTCAGCATTTTGCCTTTGAGAGTATCAGCAATTATTTTCCTCCCAAGACATATTGAGAACACATATAATTAGGTCACTTGAGAAATTAAAGGAGGGCAAACAGCACTGACAACATAAATGTGGCTCTTACTGTCCACATCTATAAATAATCTAAAGCATAGCTCCTCCAGATGTCGTCCCACTGGACTACTCAAAAAAAAAAAAAAAAAAAAAAGTTAAAGAGATGCTTTCAGTCATCAGATTAAAATTTATATTTCTGGTTCATGCTAAAGCATCAGTAGTTTAGAAACAGATGTTTGTTGGATTATAATTCTCATATGCTTAGCCCCAGGAATGAGCACATTTAAAATGAGAAGCTATGGCCTTCCCTACTTCTAATTTTTTTTTTTAATGTGAAAAGAACACCATGAAAAGACACTTTAAGTTACAACATCATAAATATGGGTTTATCTGGACGACCAGTAGGCCAGAATGACTGATGCTCACATAAAAATGAATTACATATTATGAATAACTTGCTAATATTTTCTTTTGAACACTGAATTACAGATAGAAAGGTAATCTGTTTTACATTTACTATGAAGTCATTTCAGCCAATTTATTGGTAATCTATGGTTTGTTTAAAAGCCCTTTCATGAGCAATTGCTTGCAGCTAATCTGTGATCATCCCATGAAAATTAGTAAACTTCTTTAAAAGATAATTTTTTGATTGCAAAAATGTTAGAAAGTGATAATCCAGCTCTTGCAGCTTTGAAAATAGGTGTTTTCCTGTCTCTCAGACCTTATGTTTAGCTAGAGTTCTTAAATTCATAAGAACTAGAGAACCCACCTTAAAAAAAAAAAAAAAAAAAAAGGTTCTTTCCAAGGGGAATGTGCCACTGGCTGGGAGCTTTCTTCTCTGCTGTTGGTTATCTGTTTTACACCAATGAAAAGAAGATGCCAGACTACAATGGTAGAAACTGTCTTTCAGATTTTGTCCCTCTCTTATTTTTTTATATTAGTCATTCAAATTTTTCTTACATTTTCCAATTTCCTTGAAGATATGGAGAATATTGGTGGTTGGTGGATGGTTCAGCAGATCCCAACTGTCTTAGCAGATTATGAAATGAATTAGTGTCCCTCTGGGTTGGGAGTCACATATTTTCCAGCTATATTTGGGTCCCTATGCAGTTAGCTTCCCAAACTATGGCTGCTTCAAAGACTTTCCAGGATCTACCAAAAACTGACTGAAGTACATCAGTTAAACTGAATCTTTCGTTGTATAGCAGGTACTACTTTGAATTCAAATTGGGCTCTAGAATGCTCTAAAACAGTACATTGGAACTGAGCTGCTACTGATTTATGCTGATATTAAGATAAGTATTAAGATAACACATAACTTGACAATTTGTTTCCATCTTGCCTTTGGTTACTCTTGATTCATGTGCAACGCAGAATTGTCTACCCAGAACTTCCATGCTTCCTAGAAGAGGCAGTGGAGGATGGACAGTGGGAGTCATCCTCCCTCTTATCCCTATCTTGGCAGGACAATGACTTATGAATACAGCCAAGAGAGGAGACAGCTGGGTTGTGCTGGCTGTCCGATTTTACACCCACAAGGAATCTGTAACCCCTTCAACAAGGTGCAATGTGTCTACCCTCCACATATATCCTTCACTCTTTCCTCACGGGATTTCTTTACATCTTTGACATCCAGGTCTCCCTTTGAGATCATTTTCAAATGGATTTTATTCATATAAAAATCCACGCGTGTAGGGAGAGGGGGAGTTCAGAGGCCCAGCATCCCTTGGGTGTGCTGCTATCCAAGATACCCCCACTGCCCGCCTCACACACAGCATCTGGACAGCTATAGATTGCCACACCTCTTATTTTTCACACTTCACCACTTGTTCAGTTTAATAGAATCTGAGTAAAAAAGACAGTTTTTCATAGAACCTTAAATATAACATATGCAGAAGTTTAAGGATTCTGTATAGCCATAGTTCCTTGAAAATCGACTCTATCTAAATTTACCCAGAGAGATAATCATCAGCCTGTTTCTCATCGGTCAAACTATTAACGTGTGTCCCAACCTCAACTACTGACCCTTTAGTCTTCAACTTGAGTACAGCAGCTGCCAGCAGTGTGGTCTGAGATCTGCATTTTTAGGGCTGCTGTAGGCTTTGGAATTCAAGGGTTGATTTGTGAACCAGCTGCTTCATACGCACCTAGCTTCAAGAAACAGAATTAGCCTCAAGGCAAAGTAAGGAAACATGTTTGGATTATAATTACTCATTTTGACCTTTAAAATCTTAAAGGAACACTGTAGGAAGAGAAGCAACTAAAGGTTCATCCAATGCCTTGGACCCTGAAGGAGCTGGTACTGTTATGCAAATAAGAATTGTGAAAACCATCTGTGAATGGGAACCATAGTGAATGGGATAAGGCTGATAAACCCTCTTGGAGATGCAGAGAAGGACCAAACCTTTGTGGGCTTTTGATGGCCTGAGCCAAAAGAGAAAAAGAAAAAAAATACAAGAAAACAAAAACAGCCAAAAGCCAGATATTTCTTTAGGCTTTATCTGTACAAACTAATTATTTGAAAGATAAAAGAAACAACCACCATGCAGGGTCACAGGTGGCATTTAGTACAGTGAGATCACCAGATGTCCACTGGTAAAGCCCTCTTTGGGCTTTAGGAACAGGCTCAAATGACCACACAGATCCCCTCTGATTGGCTCTGAAAATTGGTACAGAGAGTTCTCTGAGGACCCCAGCATGCAGAGGAAGATAGGTGGCTCACGAGGCCATGCCACTCAACTGGCATGCTGAGATAATGGGCTAAATAAATCCTCTTCCTTCAATGACTCACCCCAGGTGGGCACACCACAATGTGTGAGGGCAGAGAGGTTTAAAAATTTTAAATGGAGGAGCTGGCGGTTTTATGGTCACTATGGTTACTAACATTCTAACCTAAGCCAGGTTCAGATAATGGTAATGGTGAGGGTTTTTTTTCCCCCCATCTTTTTTGTTTGTTTTTGAGACAGGGTCTCATTCTGTTGCCCAGGCTGGAGTGCAGTGATGTGATCTCAGCTCACTGCAACCCTCACCTCCGAGATTCAAGCGATTCTCCTGCCTCAACCTCCTGAGTAGCTGGTATTACAGGCATGTGCCAACAAAGCACGACTAATTTTTGTATTTTTAGTAGAGATGGGGTCTCACCATGTTGGCCAGGCTGGTCTCAAACTCCTGACCTCATGTGATCCACCCACCTGGGCTTCCCAAAGTGCTGGGATTACAGGCATGAGCCACTGTGCCTGGCCTAGTTTTACATCTTATTTAGACACTTCTGCTGGTTAAGAGGCTGGAACTGGAATAGATTGTCAAGAGACCCACATTTTTCAGAAGCTGAGCAGGTGGCACCACTAGATGGTGTATTTTCAGCAGAATTCCTCTTATGGATGTTAATGTGTCCCAGGAGCACTTCAGTGGTTGTCATCATGTTAATGAACACATACGAGCATTTTTAGGCGCTGGCTTCCTGCAGACACATTTCCAGAAAGCTGAGGCCAAGAAGAGTCATTTTGTGTTTTTCTGTTGAGAAGAAAAGATTATTAATCCCTCTTTGATGATTGATTGATTCTGAAAATGCGTGTGACTGATACGTGCTTAGGATATTTGTTCTCCGGACATCTAGAGTATTTACTCTCTAAAGTTAAATCAGTGGTTTAACAACCACTCCACAATTTTTCCTCATTTTCAAGATTAGCTGAGATCTCTTCCTTCACTTACAACCATGTAGATAAGAAATATATTTAAAATTTCTTAAAATATAGCCATAGAGAATATGACCTATCAGATATTTATGAAATTTAAATTAAAATGTGGCAAATAATTTATCTATTCCCACTACACCCTCCACCCGCACCCTGCCCCAGGAACCTACTGTATAACTTACGAATTACTGCTCATATCATGGAGAATTTTTCTAACATTTCAGATACTCAGATTTTCATTCTTTCAGAACTTAACAGCATTGTCTGGCCCCTAAAGTGAAAAATGCTTCTCTCTGTGAAGGCAATTGAAAGAGACACTGCTGTAATTGATATGTCAATTTAAGTGGTCCAGGCTAATATTTTCACAAGGACTTGAATATAACAAGTAATGAAGATCTTTAAGAGGCTCACTATGGTTATAATTTTGAATTGCTACAGAGTTATGTAATCTTTACCCACATTCAATTCCTATCTTGAGGAAACATAATAGAAATTTTACGCATATCTATTTTTACTAGTGGCTAACTCAGAAAAGGAAGAGTTCCTACCTGTGGTCATATCTTGGGGATAATGATGCCAACTGCCTGTCCTTTTCTAGACAGCATTTTGTTTTTTGCTTTGGGGTTTTTTAATTGGTTTTCACAATTTTCTAAATCTAGAATTACATACTATAGTGTGTAATTACCTAAACCCATGTGTTATGTATTACAGAATGCTTTTAATAATTTAAAATATAGAATAGCACATCATGTGAAAGTTTGTTAGGATTTACACTGTTTTGTTACTCTTGTCTTGAAGTAACCACTTGTTTATTTGACCAAGAAAATACAACACTTAGCTAAAAGAAAACAAATATTAACTCAAATGTATTCTCCCGTTAACTCAGTCTTATGAAGGAAATCTATTTGTGCTCATGAACACTAACCAGTGAACATTATTTAAACACAAAACCAAGTCAGGATATGTCAATATCTAGTGTGCCTTTTTATTTCCCTGAAATCAGATCCCCCAAAGAACTATTGCAAATCCCCAAATCAAGGAAAATGATAACCCTCATAGAACTTCCAGGTCTTGATAACCCCCTCACTGTGTTTATTGATGAGTCTATTATTGTTTAGGAAATCTCCTTGACACCTTGTGGTGTGTGTATTAAATTCTATTCCCTATAGTTTAAGGACGAATCTAACCAGAACACACACCCGGCAGCTTTAGAGAATATGATATTCACTCAGCAAGAAAACCACTTCCTATCAAGCAGCCTCCTGATAATGTTTAATGAAGATGATTTTTCACTGCTGACATGTCTACGTCTGTTCTCAAGTACTCCTGCTGTTTCTCATTAAGGACACTTTAATATGGAGCTACTCTGAAACCAAGTGGGTCCTTGCTTTTGGTGACCATTAACAAAAGACATGCTTTAGCAGTGTCTGAATTCTATGTCATTGGGAACATACTTTGCACTGGCCTCAAGCGAGTCAATAATTACATGTTAAAAATCTACATGTTATAAAAAATAATTCACTAATAGTGTTCAAAAGGGCCCCCGAAAATCACATATGTGAAAAAGCTATCTTTACTTGGGAATTTATTTACTTGGGAATATCTTTACTTGGGAATACTCAGAACTGAAGCTTAACAAAATTAATTACCATGTAGGTTTAAATTTCTCACAAATTTTCACCTGGATTTTAAAGTCAGTGAAACCATTTCACAAGGAAATGACATATTGTCACCTGTTCCAGCATTATTTTACTGTTTGCTGTAGCTCTGAACTGCTTTCCAGTAGAACTAGTTCAAGATAATTAAAGAGATGACACAAACCATTTCACTAAGGGAGTAGACTCCTGTTTTGAATATAGCAAGAATCATGTCAATTTACAGTAAATCATGATGACTTCAGTTGAATTATGAATATTTCACTTTATGCAGTTAATGCTCTAGAACAATTAAATGAAATTATCTTTCAGTGTTTTTTTCTGAAAAAATGAATTAATTTTCATGTGAACAAAAGGAAGTACTGGCTTCCATTTGACATTCCAAGTGACAGTGCAGACTCAGCTTGCTCCTCTATAAATCTCTACGAGAATTTATTTTCTTTCTTTTTTCCCATTGGCCTAAATTTTGCCTCTTAGCTGTATCAATATCATGCCTTGCTAATCAGGTCCTGATTAGATGGAGATCTTCAGAAACATACATTGATCCAAGGAGCTGATTAAAATGTATACTAAATTGGAGGAAAAAGAATAGATGAAATACAGAAGATATGAAAACACTTAGAAGTGACTTTCTATTAAATTTATTTCACCAGTACAAAAGTTAATCTCTAGAAAGCTTGAGCTAAAAAATTGAAATTATTAGGCCTAAAAAAGTAAAAATATATTAAAAATAATAAAATTACTATTAATTATAATGTGAACAGCTTTTATATTCCGTGCCTGGATATCTCATGAACATATTGATTTATTTCTAATACTGAGCCTTCCTACATTTAAAAAGTGATGTACAAAAGGTAATTAGGTTTAAGGAATTACTTAGCAGTTTTATAAAGTCTTGAATTGGCTGATCTAGGATCCAGAGGCATCATTGCTTTTCTGTTTCTTTGCATCCTATTTGACAGATAGTTGCTGCAATAATGGCAATTACCGGCATTGTCATGATGGCGTATGCAGATAATTTCCACGCCGATTCCATCGTAGGAGTGGCATTTGCAGTGGGCTCAGCCTCTACATCTGCTTTATATAAGGTATGTTGTGCACTTTCTTTTGTAAGCAACTGTCACTCATAACTTAGACTTGAGTACTAAAGTAAGAAAGTAGGATGAAAACACTGATTAAAAAGAAAATAGATGTGTTGAAATAATAGTAAGTAAATTAAGTACTCGTTATGTGATGGGTACCTGCCTGAAAATTTTGCCTGTGTTAATACAACCTTATGAGGCATAAATATTTATTTCCACTTTCCAGGTGAGGAAACTGAGGCTTTGAAAGATTAAATAACTTGCCTCAAATCATGATAGAACTAAGACTTAAACTCTGGACTAGCCCACTTCTAAGCCCATGTGCTATGCCCTAATCCCTCATTTATCAGGCAGTTATAGCAGGAACATTAGAAAGTCATCTTCTCTCCCTATGTTTCTTTAATTTAATTATCTATGGTCATTATTTTAACTCAAAAGAGATGTTAGAAATAAGCTATCACTAGAGAGCTGTTTGGCACATATTACCCCCATGCCACAGGAGCTCATGTTACTAGCAAAATGAAGAACCTCCTTTTTTTTTCTCTGATGGATGCTCTAAGTTGGCTGTATGTACCCACCCTTTTTTTCTCCACTGGAGTTCCCTGTCATCAAAGAAAATTCTATTCAGAGTCATTGCACCTGACTTCAGAAGTGAGAACTAAGAGAGCAGATCTAAAAGGTCATTCCCCAAAGCTCTACTTTTAAAAGTCAACTTTCTGGATATATTAAAGAACGGTTCCAATTTCACCTCTCTTGGTGTTTCAATGAGAAAACACTCTCTGAAAGGCAGCAAATACCCTTTTCATCCCTCCTGGAAGCCTTTTCTGATTATTAAGCAACACTGTGGCTCAGAGGGCATGAAGTCTATTTCCATATTGACATTTCTCGGCCCATTGATTCTGTGTGACAAGCTTGACAAATGCTCACTCAACGGCCATTAGCGTCTCACTTGCTCCCCAAGTGAGATTCACGAAGATGTCTGATGTGACCGAAGACTACCATGCGCTCAAATTCTTTTGATTAAGTCTTCCAGCAGAAAAAAATAATTAGTTCAGTTGAAATTAGAAACAGTACCTGGGATCGCTCTATGACCAGAATGGCTCTCTTGCAGAGGGATTTCCCCTGACCAGGTTACAGAATGTATTCATTCTGAGAGTGCTAATATTTGCTGACATGTACCAAATCCTATCTGCACCGTAATGTAATTCCAGGCAGAAGAGATCTGCCTCACTCCATGTTGTTACAGGATTAGTATAGGGAGTGGTGGGCTTAAGAAGCTAAGAAATATGGACTCTACACTTGGCTTTCTCCCTAACCTGTTGTGGGATTTTATCTTAGCTATTTGCTTCTCCTTGCCATCTTCCTCTGCACACAGGTTTATAATATATAAAAACTGTTTTTTAATCTGGGGAACAAGCACCATATTTGTGAAGTCATTTTAAGCTCACAAAGAAAATTGCTTATAAATCCAAGGCATAAATACTATTTCTCTCAACATGATGACAGGGTCTCTCCATCCAATTTACTTTTCAGTATCTATCAAAATCAGGATAAAACAAATCCCATGCTTTAAGGTAAGGATTAATGGCAGTCAGTCCTAGAAGATTTTTCTGGGCTTGTCTGGACTCTTATTTATCATTTTCCTGATACCCATCAGTGATGGTGGCACTAAACACAATGTACAGTACCCAGCAGTTTTCAGCACCATAAGAAATTCATTCTATGACATTTGCAATTTCATATGAAGGCTACAGAGTATTTTAATTCCTTATCTCAACAGCCCATCTAGTGCTGTAAAGATGTCAGGGCAAGAAGAAATGGAGAATAAACTCTGGGCCAGTTAGCTCACAGTACAGAATAATAAGACTTACCTTTCTGTTCTAGCTAAGTCTCTGTGTGGCTGTAGAGTTTTTTTTCTCATTCCAGGTCTTGTTTAAAATGTTTCTTGGAAGTGCCAACTTTGGGGAAGCCGCACACTTTGTCTCCACCTTGGGTTTCTTCAATTTGATCTTCATCTCCTTCACCCCAGTCATCTTGTATTTCACCAAGGTGGAGCACTGGTCCTCTTTTGCAGCTCTGCCGTGGGGCTGTCTCTGTGGGATGGCAGGGCTGTGGCTGGGTAAGTGGCCTCGGGTTTTGCCTTCCATTCCCTTTATCACTCAATCTTTCTTTGGCTAGTTAGATTATCATCATAGGATTATTTTCTTGGGTAACTCTGTGCTCTAGTTCCCAAACGTATGTTGTTCAACGTCATTGGTCATGTTTAGCAGGTTCTTTGCAAGATGCTGGTTGATTAGGTTCAAGCTATCCAACTAGTATGCCTCCCATGAGTTAAGGTGTGCAATGGAGGCCCAAGCCTCTCTGTATACCACTGGCCTTCAATCCATTCTTCTTCTTCAGCCTCATTCGTTCTTTCTAATGCACTGTATCACGTTATAATGTTCCATGTGTGCCATGGTGTGTTGAGCAGAGGTTAGGGAGTAGATGGTGCATTCAAAGAACTCAGAGTGGTTCAAACTGGTGGGAGCACTGAGTTCAGAAGGAAAGAAGGGAGGGAGGGAAGGAGATGCTATTTAAGAAGGAAGCAGGTTGGGAAGAGCCTGGAAAGCCATTTTGAGGTGTTTGGATTTAAAGTTCACTTAATAATCTTTAAGCAGGTTGGTGATAGGCTCATATCTGCATATGAAACAGCTCACTCTGGCTGAGAATGGAGGATGGATTTGTGATAGGAAGACATTGCCAGTAAAGAGACAGCAGCATGCACTGGGCTTGGTGATCCTGGCTGGGTAGACAGTGCCTAGTTAATGGCCAAGAAAAAATCACCTGGAGTCTTTGTAATGTCTTCACTGCCAGCTTCCTATAACTCTGAGGCTGGCTGCCTCACCTGAGCTCTGGGATCCGACTTTTAAGCTGTGCTGCTGTTGTCACTTGATGTGAGAGGAGCCTGTAAAATAACAAAGTTGCTCTTCTCTCACCAAGGCAGTCAAAAAACAGCAACAACCCAATGACTTGGTGTTTGTTTACTCAGAATCAAATCCTTTTCATGCCGCTCCCATTTCCACACGCCACTCGGAGGTCAACTCCCTCTGCCCACTCCTCATTTTCCCACAATACTCGGCCTGCAGAACATCCATCAACTCTCAACTGACCTTCTTTATTGAGGTGATATAATTTGAAATAGTAGCAGCACTGCAATTCCTGGGAGCAAAATGTTCTTATTTTCATCCCTGCAAGAGTATTGATTGGGTCATCTTTTTCTATGCTGGCTCAGTCCCTCAGACTCAGGGGAGGTCTTAGACAGAAAACACTCAAGAGAAGGATCAAATATTAATAGTTGGTCCCTTGAGTTCTACTTTTTGACGCCAAAATTATATGGTTAGCACCTCTCATAACCTCTGCTAAGTTGAGTAGAAATCAATAGCGATATTTCCGTAAGACCAAAACATCCTCATTAAAAGCACCTAGATTATTTTCTGGCCAAAAACAACATAAAAGGGAACAATCCTAATTAAAATTTTAATGACCTTTAGCCTCCTCGTTGCACACATGATTTCCACCTTGCTGCAAAGTAGCCCTCCACCAACATATACTCCTTGGCATATCCAATACATGCTCCTAAGCAAGCCTGCAGAGGCTGGATGCCACCTGTGCTAGCTAAACACTGACATTCGCCACCAAGCAGTATGAGCTCCACACTCCACTGGCTGCAGTGCTAAGCAGCACTGCAGCTGCTCCACCAGGCCCACCCCGGTGCACTGCAGAGCTCACTGTGCCGAAGTTGTGCTGTGACCATTGAGGAGATAGCCTCCCTCCTGGCTGTTACACACCCCAGGATCTTACGGTCTTCAGTGCTCCTATTCCTAAGTGTTTATTGCCATCCCTCTTTTCTCCATAGAAATCAGACATGATCTGGCTGAGGCTAGGCTGACACAGGTCTGAGAGATACACATCAATCTGCACCCTGAACTACCCCACATCTCCTATAGTTATGGTTTCCTGTTTGCTTACGTTTACTTTGCCTCACTCCTCTCAGGCTGACCTATCTTTTCGGAAATGCGTTAGCCCAAATGCAAGTCAGCCTCCTCCATTCACCTAGCATGTCTGAATTGCACTTAAACTCAGGCTAGGTCCCATACTACGGAGTTCAGCAGAGCCTGTGCTGTATTTCATAAATTCCTGGTTTGTAAGAATTTGCCATATTGGACTCCCTAAGTCTGAAGAGAGTGTCAAAGTGCTGGAATATTCATTCATGTTGCAGCTTTGTCAGGAGTGAAGAGCGGTTATTAGCCTCGGAAGACCCTCTGCCTTGCTTGCCAGTACTATTGTATGAACAATAAAAAGGAGACCAAGTCTAGTAAAAGTCAAACTCACTGTTTCTAACTACCAAGCACAAGTGACCCAGTGGGCCTAAAGCGGGAATTACAGATGACAATAGAAGAACATACATCATCCTAATTGGAATGGTTCTAGAACTTTTTTTGGTTCTACAGAGATATAGGCAACATGCTTGCCTCATTGTCACGGAGATAGCACTCATCTCTCTATCCCCTGAAACAAACATTTGAGTGGATTCTATTAGAATAATGTTTTGTAATTTATAATTTTTTTCTTTTTGAAAATGTGTTTTTGATAAGTTTTAAAGTGGATAAATGATTATTGTAACTAATTTTATATTTAACCAAAGAGGTCCAAAAGGTATTCATTGAAGAGCATGAAGCTACACCTTCAATTGGTTCTGTGGATCTGCCCTCTGATTATCTGTACACAAATCAGGATATGGAGACAGTCTCTGGAATTCAGTGAATTACATTAAACCCACCCTTGTTTGCCCACATGATGCTGACCTCCAGAGAGAGGGGATAAAACAGCATAGGTTATCATTGGATAGACCTTCCTTTAGGCAGTAACACTGGAGCCATTTAATGTCCAGGAATGTGGCACAAAATAGCATAGCAATAAAGAGATGAGGCACCATCTTCAATCAATCACCTGCTTTTAACCTCTGGCTGGCCCCAACCTACCTTTATAGTGCTAATAAGCAGTGCTGTGACTCAATTATTTTACCTCTTTGTATTTGCTCCATATGCCTTTTGCCAGCCTATTGGCAAGATTCAGGTAAACAGAGTGGCAGAGGAGGAAAGAAAAAAATGACTAATTCAGGTAGAATACACATGCATCCATCTCCAAAATTAGAGGATCAAAGGTATAGACAGTTTAAATGGCACATGTAGCAAAGACATTGATTTGTTTACTTTGAGAAGAAAAAAGTCCAGCATATTATTTCTCCTTCATCTTGTATTTCCTCCTCTATTTTACAGCCTTCAACATCCTGGTGAATGTTGGGGTGGTGCTGACATACCCAATCCTAATCTCCATTGGGACAGTGCTCAGCGTTCCTGGAAATGCAGGTACAGGTACCATGTGACATGTGCAGATCCTGGCCACTACAAGTCTCTTGTTTGTGTTTGTTCTGTGTCCTGAGTTTTTCCTTCTAGAAATTGTGAATTATGTTCCTTGCCTGGGAAGATGTTTTTAAATATCGTGAAGGTGGCAGACAACAGAATAACTATGCAGCAGATTTAAAATTTGCAGCTAAAAAACACTGTTTTTACTTGGTTGTGCTTTTAGAATTAAATACCAAATGTATCATTTGGGTTTCATGTAATCTCCCTGACAACCTAATTTTGTGGTATTTTTAGAGAAAGTCCTATGGAAACAAAAGGCATCCCAGCATAGGACTTTCAAGTAACCATCACTAATGAAAGTGTAGAGGATGTACATGGGGTTGGCTTCTCCTCAGACAATCCATGGGGAGCCACAGAAGGCTCTCCTGGGGCAGAGCAGGTGGCCCTCTGGAATAGATATAAGGAAAAAACAATTTTATTCACCTCAGGGACAAGAGAAGCTATTTTTCCAGGATAATATTTCTAGAGAAACCTGCCAGTGAAACAAGAAATACAAATGGATTATCTGGATGATTGTATAGTCCTTTTAACTTTAAAATTTTATAATTTCAAGTCTTGAGCAGCCATTTTTCTGTCCTCCACGACAATCAGCAAATGTTTATTGAACATTTGTCATGTGATCAGGACTGCAAAAAAGAAAAAAAATTACATTACTATTCTCTTAAGATGTTTATGACTGAATTTGTAAAAGAAGGCCAACCTACATGAAACAACTGGGAACTCTACAAAATAATTTATTATTAAATGCCAAATTGTGTGAGACAGACTCCAGCAGCTATAAGATATTCAGAGGAAAGAAATATCTCAGTGGAGTTGTCAAGGAAGTTCATTCATTCATCTGACAAATAATTTCTGAGCAATTAGTGTACACCAGGAACTTTCCTAACACTAGGAAAGGTCCTGAATAAGGCACAGTCTCTGCCCTCAGGACCATGTAGCATTGAGAGGGAGACAAAAAGAAAAAAATTGAGTAATTACAACATAGAATTGCTTTAATAGAGGCACGTGCTGAATGCTGCAAGGGCGCGTAGGAGGAGCATCCAAAAGGCTTCCTGCGAGAAGCCTAAGGGGAGAGATCTAAGGAGAGGTTTAGCTGGATGAAGTGAGATATGAGGAGTGAAGGGTAGCTCGTGCAAAAAGAACAGCACATGTGTGGCCAACAACTCCACTGCTGACTGTATACCCCCAAAAAGTGAAAACAGATTTAAAAAATCCTCATACACAAATGTTCATAGTAGCCCTATTCCCAATAGCAAAATGGTAGAGAAGCCTAAATGTCCATCAGCAGTTGAATGAATAACCAAATTATGATGCAATGAAATATTATTCAGCCATAAGAAGGAATGAGGTGCTGACACATGCTGCAATATGGATGGACCTCAAAAATATTTTGCTAAGTGAAAGAAGCCAGTCACAAAAGGACAGAGGATGTGACTCCATTTATATAAAATAACTAGAATAGGCAAACCTAGAGGGGGAAAAAAAGTAGATTGGTGGTTGCTGAGGGCTGGGGAGTGGAGGTAAGAAGCTGAGGAGTTAATAGGTATGGGCTTTTATTTTGAAGTGATGGAGATATTTGGGGGCCAGAGAGAGGTGGTGGCTGCATCATATTGTGAATATACTAAGTGCCACTAAGTCCACTTTAAAATGGTTAATTTTATATTACATGAATTTCACCTCAATTAAATTTTTAAAAGAACAGCCTGCACAAGTCTGAGACACTAACAAGTTTGGCTCATTTAAAAAATCTCCAATGGTTCAATGAAACTGGAGAAAGGTAAAGGGGTACAGAGGAAAAGTACTGAGAGAAAACTGGGGAGGTAAGTAAGTCAGATTACATGGAATTTGAGCTAAGCCTTGAAAGATAAGCATGATTTAGAGACAGGCGATGGAAAGCAAACCTAGCAATGTGGAAAAAGGAAACACTAACTTGGAAGAATAAAGATGACTCTTGGAAATCTCTAGAAGTAACACAGACTTTGGTGACTTGTTTTCAAAGCTTAGAAACAGGCATATGCAATGCACGACTTGATTTTTCTTTCCTAGCTGTGGATCTCCTAAAGCAGGAGGTGATATTCAATGTCGTCCGCCTGGCTGCTACCATCACCATCTGCATTGGGTTTCTGCTCATGCTGTTGCCTGAAGAATGGGATGAAATCACCCTGAGGTTCATCAACAGCCTGAAGGAAAAGAAGAGTGAGGAGCATGTGGATGATGTGACTGATCCCAGCGTACACCTGCGAGGCAGAGGCAGAGCCAATGGGACAGTGTCTATACCACTGGCTTAGAGAGGGACACATTTTGAATGCACGTGTATGTATATTCTGTGAATATAACAAAATTTTCTCACTACCTGTACACTCAAATGACAGTATTAACTCTGAATTTGGATAAATCATAAGTGAAATAATGCCAACAATAAAAGTTTACATTTATATGCTTATCAAGGAATTGGTGTAAATAATCATAATAGTTTTTTTATTAAAACACATTTGTCCTTGTTCTGTTTTCTGATTTTTTAAAAGTTCCCCTCCCCCGACTCACAACATTTCCTGAAACTATAAGAGTCAATTAAATTATGGACTTATTTTTTTCTCAACTGAAACTTATTCCTACTCAATCAAAAAAAGTTGTCTAAGAGAATAACACATGAAAATAATACATACTTGAAAGCTGGGGAAATGTATTACAGATTTAAACAGAGCATTTTCTATATGTAAAACCCACAGTAGAAACAATGAGAAGTAAAAATGTAGAATACCCATCTGTACTTTTGATGAGCTTAGAATGGTTTGGAGGATAAGACAGTTCACAAATATCTTTACTATGAGGTAGACATTTGAAAATGGCACAGTGGATATGGACAGGAATGAGCTATCCTGAAAGAGTTGTTTATATTTGCTTTCACTTCTTCAACTCCCATTCACTTTTCAGCCCACTGCAATGCACCTTCTGCCCTCATCAGTTCTCTGGAAGTGCTTTCCCCGATGATCAACCTCTCTCTTGACCACTCCTTTTTCCTAAATACTCTCTCTTTGCTTGAATCCCACTACTTTCTTTTGGTTCTATTTCTACCTCCCTGGTTGCTTACCTTGGCTTTTTTTCCTAGGCTGATCTTATCACCATCAGGGTTCTCTAAGTTTAGACCTTGACCTTCTTAGCATCTCATTCCATACTCTCTCCCTTGGGGAACTCCTCTACTCCCATGGCTTCAACTGTCATCCATATGGTGATGACATCAAAATCTTAATCTCCAGCCTAGATTTGTCCTTTGAGCTTTAGCTCTGACTCTTCAGATGTCTTCTGCAGCTCACTTGGACGCCTCCTTGTATACCTCAAATATAGCAAAAACAAAATTGAATTTATCATCACTCCTCCCCAGACCTGTTCCTTTCCTCTGCCTGTTCCCTGTCTATGTTAATGATACCATTATTCACTAGCTGCCTAAGCCGGAGATCAACCTCACCTCTGCCTTCTCATCCTGCACATCTGTTTAGATATTGTTCCATATTGTTTAATATGTCCTATTGACTCTATTTCTTAAAATTTATTGAGTCCATATACTTCTCTCCTATTCTACCCATCCAAGGCCCCCATCATCTCTTGCTCTGCTTAATCCAATACTTTCTTCACTGATATCTCTAATTCCTAGACTTGCCTCTCTGTAATTTCTTATGTGACCTATAGAGTGACTTTTCTAACACATAGATTTAATCATTCTTCTCCCTTATATAAAATGCTTCAGTGTGATCTTATTATCCTCAGGATAAGGTCCAAACACCTTGGTATGTCATTCAAAGTTCCTCATTGGCCCCTGCCAGGCTCTAGAGCAGCAATATCTAGTCGAACTCTCTGTGATTATGGAAATATTTCATATCTGTGTGGTCCAATATAGTAGCCACAAGTGGCTACGGAGCAGATTCAATGTGGCTAGTACAATTGAGGAACTGCATTTCTATTTGCATTTAATTTTCATTCTCTCAAATAGCCAAATGTACAGTCAGACTCACACCAGTAATTCCAGTGCTTTGGGAAGCCATTGCAGGAGGATCACTTGAGGCCAGGAGCTCAAGACTGCAGTGAGCTATGATTGTGGCACTGAATTCCAGCCAAGTTGTCCAGGCAACAGGACAAGACCCTATCTCTAAAATAAATAAGTAGCCAAATATGGCTCTTGGCTACTACACTGGACAGCACAGCTCTAGAGCCTCATTCTACCATACTACCCTTTGTGGCCTTCTGAAATCTCTATGCTTCGATGACACTATACTTCTCTCCACAGGCTGAATCAAGCCACATTCTCTTTCTTGTTCCCTCTCTCTCCCCCTGCCACCACTGGAAAGCCTTTATCTAGGCTTCATGACATTATTTATTGCTATTTTTCTGGGAAGTCTTTTCTTAGCCCCCATGCTGTACAACGTGGCTTCTTTGGCAGTCTCTGCTTACTCCCGCTGAGTGCTGATCACCCTCCATGGTAGTTGCTGATCTACTGGTCTGAGTTACCAGTAGACCATGAGCTGCTTGAGAACAGGGGCTGTGTGGCATTCATCACCGTGTTCCTAGTGCCTAGCACTTCTAGACACATGGTAAATGAATGAACGGGTGGCTTTACACTGGAGATATGGCCCCTGACCCAAACTGTATTAGCTCAGTCTTAGTTAAGGACAGGCATTCTTATAGATGAGACTGGTTAAAGGAAGGACTGAAAGGAGCTAGATGTATCACAGCCTTTCTCATGTTTCCATAAAACACCAATATGCTGAACTGATAAACTTCTTCCCTAAGAGGCTGGGTAGAGCATCTAGCAAGTTAAGATATTCTGCACTCTGTGGGAAATCTAGTGCAAGAAGCCTAGCCTTTGTGGCATCTACTTTGCTATTTGTTTTTATTCGAGTGTCCCTAGAAGTGTTGCTGAGACAATCACAAGGTAAGACAACTCAGAATATCACAGAATATCACTGTCTGGGCATCATGGTAAATGAAAACCTTAATGTGTCAGGCCTTTGATTTCTCTGTCATTTTTTTAAAAGGCAATGTCAGTCTCCTGGCATAGATAGATAACATGATATTAACTAAAATAATAACAATGGTATAGTTTAAGCTTTATGAAAAATGAGATAAAGTCAATGAAATATGTTATTAGTAATTACGAATTAATTCATTATCAAAGTAGAGTAGTTTTGACTATTAGTTTTGACTATTTAAATGCCATATTGGTGCAAACATTACACTTGCCTTGTTTTTAAATGGCTGTTAAATAGTAGTAATCACTGCTAACCCACTCTAGCATCTTGCCATTACTTAACATGACATTTAAAATTGCACTTTGACATCTTTAAGAAAAGAGTTGTTTTGTTCTTTTTGATGATTCATTTTGAAAAATGGAGTCAGCTACCCTGGAAAGCACTAATTCGGCCTATGACTGATCATGGTAATTAGCTCAGTCTATATTAAGACAACACTTTCATTATGGCATTCATTCATTTATTCATTCAAAAATTATTAACTTCAAACCTCTGACTTTGAAGTAGGGTAGTGTGTTAAACTGTTACCAATTGGCTCTTGCTGGCCTCTAGAGTAGCACTCTCTGATAGAACTTTCTGTGCTCATAGAAATGTTCTCTGTGCTGTGGGGAGGGATACAAAAGTGTATAGAAATGATCCCTGCTTCAAAGAGCCTGCAACCTTTATAGGTAAGCTGTCACCCTGACAATTAAAACAACTCAGAAGTTTATTTAAATCAGCTTTGGGAATGTGAGATAGTCCCTTTAATTCAGGTAAAGTAGTCATGAATAAAGATAATAATACCTTTCCTTGTTATTGCTCATGGTCATTATGAGAATCAGGATAATGTAGGTCAGTCACCGGTAAATATGGTTGTGCCTCTTATGTGCCTATGTTGTGCCTTAGATGAGCCACATTCAGTCAGGTATGAAGAATAATTAAGGGAGGAAGACAAAGACCCTGCGCTAGTGGGTGGGAGTACCGTGTTAAGGTTACCGTTATCCTGCCTCTTTATCCACACCTTTTCCCTTCCCAAGTCCAGGAAGCGATGGCTTCTGTAGGTTCCTGAGTGGCCAGCACAGTCCAGGGACGAAGAGCACCATGCTTCAACCTTGACTCTGTACTTCTTAGAGATGGAACTTTGGCAAATGACTAACCTCTCTCTGCCCCTCACTTTCATTAGCAGCAAAATGAGGATATTAGTGTCATTTGGGATTGTTGAAAAAATAAAATGAAATACCATGTGTGAGATCTGAATGCACAACCAGACAGGCCAGAAGCAGTAACTGTTGTCAGAATTTCCTCCACTGCTCACCTCCCTGGAGGTCCTCATCTAGAACTTTCACCTACAGATTTGGCCCTTAGGCCTGTCTTTTTGGTCAACTTATTTCACAGCCCTGTGCCCCAGCAAAGTCACAAAGCCTGGTGCCAAGCAGGGAATTTTACCCAAAATAAACGAGAGAGACAAAAGAAGCCTGGCACGAGGAATGCTCCAAGGAATGAAAAAAGGATATGCCTTTTCCATCTGCCTGGTTCCCCTGGGTACTCTGCATCATGGCATTCTTGCCCAGTCAGTGGAACTAATTGCCTGACAAAAAGACAGACTAGCAACTTGGGCTCTGAAATTAAAATCACTTCAACCACGTCCTGATCTCTTCACAAACAGATTATAGGCAAATCAATTTTGCTCATCCAGGCTTTGCATGCCTGTTAATTTTGTGCAGGCGCTTTGTCAAGATTCACCAGAGGACAAATGATTTGGAGGACAATGTAAGAGATAAAAGCATGAAGAGTATAACCGGCCAAGCATTAGAATATTTCTGATATTTAAGTACAAATCCTCTTTCTTACTTATCCATAAACCCCTGTCGCAAATACAAAGAACACCTAGCACAGGCCAGGCCGGTTAATCTGGCAGGCTAGAACAAGAAGTCTCTATTCATCCTAATTATTTTCATTCTTTTTTTTTCTTTTTTCCTCCACATCTGTAGCAATTGTAGGTGAAGTAAGAACAGGGAGAGTGTAGGGGGTAACAGTGTGGGGGTGCTAGCACTGAGACCCCAGAGGCAGGAGGAGAAGCATCACGCTTCAATGCTCTCATTGACCAGGACGTTCCACATGTGTTCCACAAAAGCAAAGGCTACTTTATTGTTGTTTGCTGGAGACAGGAGCATTAT